AATATATGAGAGTTTAAATGAAGAATAGCTACCGTATGCTTTAATATCCGATTATACTGTCTTTGTACTCAATTAATTTCAACAATGAAAAAACGACATGCAAATTTTTTTTTTTAAGCATTAGACGTGTATCTAAATGTCTTCATATGTTGTCCCCACCTCTTTTCAATTCCATTAAAGATATTTTAAAATATAAAAGAAAAAAATTGTTCTATAGTAATTCAAAAGAGACATACTACAGCATTAAGCTTACTGTCTACTACTCTTGTAGGGCGTAATTATATTGTACTTTGAAATATAAATATAGACACACGTGGTACGTGTTTCACGTTTTGTCAATTCTTTTTTAAAATCATTAATGTCTTCGCAATGAACAAAAACGAAAAGAGAAGAGAAATGTCAGTTTACCAATGTACCTTCCTATATAAAGCATAATAAGGCCTGTGGGAAAAGTTGTTGCTGGGAAACAACAAAAAAAAACATTCGAAAGCGTCGAGCTATTCTTGCACGAAATTATTCAACGGTGCATGTGGCTATAGGCTCTGGTTGTATTCCCAACACAGTTAATCTTCTCGTATCAACACGGCATCTAATGAAAAAGTACCAGCATTTTTCGTATAAATTTAAACAAGGCATGATATACAATGTGCAGGCCCGTAAAAAAAACATACAATTACCACGATTCGAAGTAGAAGAAGCAAAATAAAAGTCGTCACAAGATCATCTTGAATGAGGAAGAGGGACACGGGGGGGGGGGGGTCCGAAAAGAATTGCCGACCCTGTGATTGCAAAATTTCAACTGAGGGAGGGGTGGATTGACTTCTTTTTTTTATTTTGCGAACCATCGACAGGCCTTTGAAGAAATAAAAGTTTGCAGACAGAAATTTTATTTGGGACTGTCACACTCCAATCCATGGTAAATCTTTAAAGTACTTGAGCAGCAATACCATTTTATATCAATAAATGCCTCCTGTGTCTTGATCAATAACGTACGGTACATACATGTTGTCGCCTCTATTTTTGAATTTAGAACGAATAAAATGAGAAAGAAAAGATCATGGTCACTAATCATATGACATTTAAAACAATATAATTATGACTGTCTGTCTGAACACGTGATTTCAACAGTATAAATATACGATTTTACTGCACGCTTTCGATATCATATTCCACGATATAGTAATTGCTATAATTGGTCAGACAATTTGTTTTAATTCTAAACAATGCTTGATATGATTATCAAGGGCAGAATCGGATCCGTTGTCCAGATGGAGGATTGATAGTCACCTTTTCAAATATTGATTTCATAGTGCACGTTTCCGGCAAGACAGACAATATTCTCATATAAAGATTTGCGGGCACGTTGATCTGAGCGAGCCGATATTGGTTTGGCAGCTCTTTGGTGATCCATCCGAGCGTGTAAATCTTTGTAAAGGTAGACTTGTAAAAGCACTTACGGCCAATAAGTTGCAGGTATAATTGCATCGTGACTTAATTACGTGCCACCATAATAAACGCAACTGCCAAATGATATAACGCCAGCTCTCTGGATAGGGAGGGGGGGGGGGGGGGGCAGAAAGCAATAGTGTTCGCGTATCATGTGGCTTATTTAGGAGATATTATGAGGCCTATCTCGTCTGGGTTATAATTGATGAGAGTTGGTGATGATTATACCTGAATGATGAAGCATGCTTGTGCTGCTGCTGCTGATGATGGTGAGGATGATAATGATGATGGTGGTGGTGGTACGTGCATGGTGGTAGTGATGATGGTGAGGATGATAATGATGATGGTGGTGGTGGTACGTGCATGGTGGTAGTGATGATGGGATGATTGTGATGATGACGATCATGGTGATAATGATTATGGTGACGGTTGTGGTGATGGTTTCGGGTGGTGGTACTGCATGAGGATGATGATAATGATTGATAATGATGGTGGCGATGATGATCGACGATGACAAGGATAAGGATGGTGGTGGTGGTGGTGGTGGTGGTGATATACTTGGTGGTAATGATGGTTGGGCGTATATAGGCCCATCGCCACGGCACCCTCATTTTCAAAATATATAAGCGCCTCTGCACCATTAATGGCGTACGACAGTTTCATCACCAGCCGATGGCCAATCATAATCATCTTCATTATCCTAATCATCATCATCATTATCCTAATCATCATCATGTAGTGTGCAGTGGTGATATATTTTTTACCTGACTGCTAAGAAAGCATTATTGTTATATCTATAGGATATAAGACAGGGTATTGAAGTGGCACTTGAGTTGGTATCTCAATAGTCTGAGCAAACAAATTGAATGCAATCGTGAGTTTTCCCTCGTCTTGGTATTGGGATAACAGCTCTTAACTAAATTAAGGTTTGAAGAAAAAAAAAGAAAACTTACATATCCGAGTAAAACCCATAGGCCTACCGGAATTTAAAAAAAAGGAGATATTCGAAGGGAAAAAATAATCTTCATCTAAACAATATACTTGTACTTTTCGTTTTAATCTGCAGTTTCTAAATGTCATTAGTCCTGTATGGCTTCCGTTGGCGTATTAAGAAAAAACGAAATACGGATTGGAATCGTGCCAAATACGGGTATACAATACATCTGAGTTGCCCTTCTTCTTGTAGACCCATCACAAGTTAAACTGATACGTTTATATTTTCGCCCTTCTTGGGGGGGGGGGGGGGGGGGGGGAGTACGCCGGTTTTAATGTTCGTTGGATTCGCCATTGGACCGATTTTTAGTGAAATAACAAGCCTTGCAAACCTCGATCAGTCTAATACATACTATGTGACGGGTTGTTCTTATCGTCAGTGCAAATGTTGTTCTAAATCATTAAGATTCTTCCATTTAATTTTTTTTTTTTTTTTTACTTTGTATTTGGCCGTTTGGACCAGAATATGCACCATAATTCTAGATGCGATGGGGATGTACTAGTATGCCTTATTCCCCATTCTTGCTTTCCTTACCTTTCTCCTAGTTCTAATCCCTCATTCCTTTTCTCTCCCCTTTCTTCCTTCGCTCTCTCATTCTTACAACCCCCCTCTCGTTCAATACATCACACTCTGACTCTCTCTTTCTCGGTAAATCTATTTTCCAACCTTGTGGCTGCTCATCTGCAAGTGCTTTCTGGTAGGTACAAATTGATCACAGAATAAAAACAAAAGCTCATCAAACATCTTATCTTATACCTAATTTTTAATTTTTCCATTCATAAGCGAATTACTGGTGAAGGTATTTCTGGCATATTATTTCTTAATGATAAAGTATCTTACATTAGCTGTAAAAGTGTAAAGTAAAACTGACATAATCAAAACGGTACATACTGTATACCAAGCATTCCAGCAAGATTTATGATTTTCTCTAAGTGACTTCTCCCTTCGGGCACTACCTAACATATAAATATGGATATTATATTAGCATGCGTCCTCTTAAAAGAAAAGAGCCTCCAAAGTCATACATTTTGAGAAAGAAAAAGATATTTTAGTCATTTTTTAGTGGTGGTACAAATGCCATGGAAAGTTGTCTGGCACTACATCACAATGACATTACCGATTCGGCCAATTCGAAATTCCCATAGACTCGAGCGGTAGTTACCTTGGGCTTAGTATTCAATCAATTCAATAATGTGTACTCGTTGACAGGATAATAAATCATAGATTTACCTGAAACCACTTAGCCTACATCATTTCTATACTTGAAATTGTTGAATAGGGCCTCTAAGTGACAGGAGAATAAATTTATGCCGGGTAAAATTTGTATTGGTTTCCAATATTACATTTATTTTTGAGATCTGCTTTGCTCTCCACCAGTTTAAGGACATGACTTTCTTTCAAGTATTTTGTTGATAAATTTACTACAAAGTTACTTCCCAACCTTCTTAATGGGCCATTCAACCCTTTTCATAAGTTCATTTGTATGAAAGCATAAAAATAGGTTTGAAATAAATCAGACCAAAATAAGAGATCACTATAGCTATGCGAATCTCAAATTGGCAATTTTGTCAGTGGATTGTGGCCACTGAACTCTACACTGTGGAGAGTGATTCAGTGATTGTGATGTTACTTTTAATAATTACTGTCGATGTTCAAACTGAATGTTTCTTTTAGTTTGCTGTTGTTACCCTGTGAATTGCCATTGCGTACGGGTAGTGAAAATGTTATACAAATATTGCTAAGTGTATGAATATTGTTTATTTTTCTTCATAATAAGTTTCAACTTAATTAAATTACTTTTTTTTTTTTAAATATACACAAGACTATGTCATTGTTGTAACTTTCGGAGCCTATGACCTACAAGCATTGCTTTCTCTTTAGGCTCCATCATATTTCTTCCCTTATTCAACTTAGTCTTATGTATCATTCTTTTTTTGTTGTTTGTATAAACGCATCCTAAAATGAGTTCAAAATGTAACATGCTATATGTAATGATGTACTATACAACATGTGAGAAATATGAAATAAACTGAAACTGAAACTGAAACTGAAACTGAACTCTCCCACTTGCCGTGTACAAATATATCATTAATTTCTGACTTTCCCCCAAGTGCCTTCTCCGTTAGGGCACAAAACAGAAAGTTGTCCCCCGCTACATCACAGAGACATTACTGATTCAGCCAATTTAAAATTCACATAAGTGTACTGCCCTACAACAGTAACAAATTCTTAACTTTCTTATTTTTTGTCTGATTTCATTCAAACTTTCACCAGTCCGCTTCTCTGAATTTTCTGCTTTCTTTTGAAATTGTTCACTCTTAAGGTTGGATTTCCATTTAATGATGAATGAATCTTGGTTGCAATGTTTCACAGTATTCAATGACAATTAAAATATCCATTATAATAAGTATAATGTATTGAACAGATTCACATGCATTTTGCTGACAGGATAGATCATAAACATGTAGAAATGCATTGGTGGCATTAAATAGTCTGTCAGCATTAAAAGAATAGGATGACACAACTGCAACAAATTAAAAAAACATGTGTATATTCATTCATGTATATAATTTCCTGCAAGCAAGATACATGTTTAACCTAGGTACAAACAAATTTGTATAAAGTTCCATCATCGTATTTTATGACCAAAATATCTGTGTCAAAAAATCATTGCAGAAAAGAGTTATTGTAAAACAAAAATTAATCTAAGATATAGATGAAACGATTTATGAGAATAGGCAAGCACATAAGATTTGTCATGCACAGAACTTTACTCCAAGAATAATTTCCTTACAGGACTTGGTAGGAAGGAAAAAAAAGCTCCATATATGCTCTTTATCAGAATGTCTCATGTTCTCAGATTTTGGGGAATGATTTTCATAAATATATAATCTGATGTGTGTGCATGACCCCTTTTAATATGATTTAATGTATATGGCCTATGGCTCTCAGTAGACTATACCATACCAGGCACTTTGTTCGATTTATGTAACACATATCAAATTCAATGCACATCCTATTACGTGCTGATTGAGATAATGAAACTGAAATACATCTGACCGACCAAGGTCATTTTTAAAATACATGTACTCTGCAGCTGATCACTTAGTAGCACTACTGCTACTAGTCTTTCAACACAGAGATAACACAGTTTTGATCTAAAAAACACCAACAACGGATAACCGAGTTAAATAACCAGCTTTCTCATGAAACATTTGCACAATGAACCAAGCATACCCTGACACGCTCACACACAGTTTTTCTGCGACTCTGTGTATCTTAAAAATCCTCTTACAGTTTTTAAGGGTGACCTACTGTAACCCCGACACTGCCCTAATAGAAATCTTAAACTCAGTCAAGGCAAGTCCCCCATTGTAGTTAACACAGCTATTGAATCCTTAACAAAGTGATTAAAGAGGCCTATCAATAATCCATCCCAACAATAGCACCATTGAACATGACCATAAAAGCCACCAACTTCCTGCTTTTTATGGCATGCATTTTACATGATTAAAGTATGACCAAGTCTATTACTATCTTCATAGCTTTGGTCTTTTCCATTTCCTTTAACATAAGTAACTATCTTGATGTGATGTTACCTGTTAGAAGTAATAATTGTTATTTGCATAATGGTTTCCAAGTCTAAATAGGCACCGAAATTCAGTGTAAAAACTTTATGCAATGCAAGTAATATTGCATACTGAGATGAAATGTGTTTGAAAAACAAAATATCTTTACAAAATTTTTTAATAATTCAATAGTGAGAATTAGAAAATGTAGCGGTAAGGCATTCCAAGTCATAGAATGTTATTTTGAATCCTACTAATTTGGATTCTAGTCATCAAGCAAAACTACACTCCAATCCATTGAAACAGAAATTCATAAGCAAAAATGTGGATGGAACTTCAACAACTTAACCTTCAATATCAAAACCAATAGTGCTTATTTTGATTTATTGCACTTCCTGTCCAGCAATTCAACTTAATGCACTTTTGAATCTACTAAATGCCATATATGTGTTGGTCCGGTTTGCAATACTTGAAGCCCTCTCCAGAATGAAACCTGATAAGGAAAAGTTGCAAAGCCTCTGTTTGCTAGCACTTCCTTCCTGATCTTTAGGCTTTTATCAGTGCAGAGAGTAGATATACGGGGAAACTAACAACTGTTTAGAATTGCAAGATAACATAGTTGATATGAACTTTACTATCCGCCTTAATAGCCTAAGATAGAGAGTCACATAGTCTTCCTTACTCTTCTCTTCATTCAATATCTTTTGACCAAAATTGTGTCACCAAGGCACTTTATGGAAGAACCATAATTCAAGCCCCCCCCCCCCAAATCAAGCAATGATTCTCCTTTAAATAATGATTTATACCTGCCATCCACAAATTTTCTTTCCAGAATTGTTCCTGAATAACAGATAAGTTACCAATAAAAGCCAATATAAACAGGTGTCACTTAGAAAAGTGGTATTTTACTTCCAATATTTTGCAGCTCTGGGGGGCAAATAAGGAACTAGGCAAAGTACCGCTATATTGCCGATAACTGGCTGATGTGCATGGTACCCTTAAGACCACAACACCTATGGCCCATGAAATGAAGCATTTAGCCTCGCGTTATTAAACAAATTGCACAAGTCCATGTACCGACACTATCTCCAGCCAATGCTCTGAATACTGAAAGGACCCGTGTTCAAGATTCAGCTGGCAGAACCGGCAAGCTGCTTCACATCCTCGCTGCTTCTGAGTCCTAGCTCCTTTAGAGCTCTTGTGAAGTGTGACGGCAGAGGCGCTGTGATAGTCACATCCTGATGACCCGCCCACTCCGGGAGGACCACATGATGAAGATGAAGGAACAGCGGTAGAAGAGACACCTGTGGTCTGGTCATGGCCAAGGCCTTTCTAATACCAGGACTAAGAACCTGCAGATTATCAAGAAATGAAATCAACGAGTTGTTAGTCGTGAACATTATCTAAATCTCTTGATTTCTGCTTTAGGTTTCAGACTACAGCACTACTGCCACAAATGCAACATTTTCACAAAAATTGTCAATTAGGATAATTCAATAAGCTAGTATGATCCCTATTGAAATAATGCAACATTACAAATTGTAAATTCTTTGTCTCACTATATAGTGTATACTGCAATTTTAAGTAAGATTTTGTAGAATAAAAAACAAATTATGAACCATCTACAAAGAATTGCACGTATATTTTATATAAACACACAAACATACAGTCATCATTGAAATAAGGCTTCATTGCCAACAAGCCTCTCTGTGCTTTTTATGAACCGAGCACTTTTATCTACATTGATTTATATGTGTTGTTTTTACAGTGGAAAATAAACGATTAGATTTGATTTGATTTGATATGTTCATGACTGAGTTAATTTTGAGTGGTAGAAACCTTAAAAAAATTACCGGTATGTGAGACTTTGAGTCATAAATAGAGACTTTTGTTTTCACACTAATGATGCAATTTCTCTTGAAACCTTACACAACATGTTGATGAGTTAATCAAATGAAACCATACATGAAACCATGCAGAAAGTTGAACCTTCAAAGCCTTACGAGAGACATGTCTAGTGTCTACATGACACATGTTCATGTAGAAAATGGACACTCTCAATATTCAGTTTGTCTTTAATGAGAGGTTTGTCATCCCATGGGCACATGGGTTCTCACATCATATAATAAAGTATATGACATACAAATTATTTATTAAAAAACAAAACTAAACAAAACAAAACAGAGTTAATAAAAAAGAAGAATAAGAAAATAAAGACCTACTGCCCCCCCCCCCAACAAAAAAGAGAGATAGGGGCATAGGAGTATTAAATGCACTTCAACTATCTGGATACAAAATTTTGTAGCTATTGTTTGGTACAGCTAGGAATCTTTATCCTCTTACCATTCATATTAAACATAGAGGGGTTCCACCTCACTATAGTCTGTCAAAATGGTCTTGAAAGAATAAATTGCAGTTTCAACTGCAATGCTTTTTAAGACATTTTTAGAAGGAAAATGGTAACGTAGAGGATACTTGACTGACTAGGGCAATCGCAGCTGCAACGTAAGGATTTAAATACACACACATGTAGCTGTAAATAGTAGTCAACTTATCAAATCAAGTTTTCCATGAACAATTCAATGTATAGATTGTAAGAAATTCTCATTACTTTCTAAACGCATTCTAAAAAAAGACAATATTACATCAGTCCCAGAGCCATATGAAAAAAGAGGTTTAATACCGATGTCACGATTTCTTCATATGATCTCTAAGCATTGTTCATAAATATGGTATAAACATCTTACTGATTAGGTTGTCATTAACGCAAGTGTCTTTTCTTTTCAGAGTATAAGGTTTCATACCATGCCTAATGAGTTGGAAATTCAAGTCCAAACATTTTTTCTCATCACTAGTCTGGATAAATTATTGTGATAAGCACATCCCACGTAGCATACATAGCTTTGACTTTTATGGAAACATGTGTATGCTGTATGCAAACATGTGTTCTTAAAAATATGGCTACCCGGTAATCAGTATCTCATGTAAAACTGATGATTGCAATATGATCATGGTCGAGAAATCTCATTTAGGACTTAAGGATTTCAATCAATTAATCTGATATGGAAAGGAAACAGATGCAATCTCTTGTCTCTGGCATTTTACTCTGGTGAAAATTGCTCTGTGCTGTATTACATCAAAGACATAGGGTCAGGTTACACTGGATTTGAGTTTAGGTTAAGGGTTAGGGTAACATTAGGTTTTGTGGAACAGGGTTGATGTCAGAAATTTTGTTTGTGTAGGGAATTGACTGCTAAGGCAAATGTCGCTGGTGCTTATGCAACTGCAATATATCCGTGCTGTACAAACCTGTATGTTATGAACGCCCAGTGCTTGATGAGGATCCATTAGAATAGGTTTCCCAAGAATAGTCTGGACTTGGTGTGAGTAGGTGTGGTCACCTAAGATTGGACAGAGATCGTTGACCATCTGTACCTGGAGCTGGTGTCTTTTCACTATATTCAAACAAAGAGGAAAAGATTTGTTGACATTCAAACTGAGAATCCTGACGAAAAAAAAATGGGGGACTGCTGGTGTGAGTTTTTATCTACTTTGAGTATGAAAACAAATTGTCAATATTTAATGCAAGATTCCTAGAAGAACAGGTTACTTTACTGACTTCATGCTCAGGATGCACTTCTGACGGGAACAATATTCTACTAAATGCATTTATCCATGCCCATCATGCATGTACGTATCTGCATCCCTTTATGACTTCTTAACTATCAACCATGTATAAGTCAAAGCAATGCTTGTGGCCTCTGATCAACTTATCGAGGGTCAGTGACACAAAGACGTAACTCCATTTTGAGAAAAAGTGGTTTATGTGTCACTGAGCACTTGAGCCTTAAGGAGTTTAGTTTATGTTTCACTAGCCATTGACTTCAATAGGATGTTAGGTGGAGTTAAGTCTTTGTGTTTCCTGGAAAGCCCACATATTTGTGTACATTTTTAAAGGAAATATTCATTTTGGCAAAATATGGAGTAACGTCTTTGTGTCACTGAACCCTCGATATATGCACAACCATCTTCCACCCATCAGGGTGTGGTGATTCCTAATGAAGAGGAGCAAGATTATTCTCATTTGCTGACTAACCTCTTAAGGGTTGCAGCTCTATGAATGCACATCCTAGTTCCTTGTTCTCACTGATGACCCTGTACTTGGTTTCAGCAGACCATACGTCTCCATCTCTTATTTGCCTCCCAGAAGGATTGTGTCTACCAACGGTCTGACAAAATACAGATAAAAAAAGAGAATTTAAAGTAGTGTTCTATTCAATAGAATTGTTTTCAATGATACATTTACTACAGATTACAATAGCAATAATATTCTGGATTTATATAATGCTGAGATCGAAATTAGATTTCTGAGTGCTTTACTGATATTATTACCCATCTATTGGATTTATTCAAGCACCAATGTGTGTACCATCTCCGATCTCTATGGAGTATTCTTACTAAGTAAAATTCTGAAAATTAAATCACAGCTGTTTTCATCAACTCACAATCTCTCCATTTTACTCCTAGATATGAATTGGCAAATGAATATTAACCTCTTCCAAAGGACATTAATGTCATGAATGGGGTTAATCCCATAACCTTTACATGACACATCTCCTGTCAACTGCTCCTAGCTCTCATTTACATCTCACAGATTGGTTTGTAAACGGTTAACATGAACCAACAAATCGTCCTTGTTTTCATAAAGTGACAGTAGTGAGGAAAATCGTCACGCAAAGTGAATGCAATTTTTTTCACTACCGTCACTTCGTGAAAACAGCGACGAAATGTACTATGCAGTAGGCACTGGACCAACATTCCTTGTCTTTCATATTTATCATTTTCTGGACTCTTTGACAAGCATTATGGTGCACAAAATCATCTTGTTTTTCAACTGAGTTGGGATTGGGATAGCTTTTTTTTTTAATAGAGAGAGAGAGGGATAGAGAGAGAAAGAGAGATAAAACAAGTGTGTGTGTATGTGTGAGAGGGAGGGAGATGAGGAGAGACAGAGAGACAGAGAGAGATAGCATATCTGCTTTTAGAGGTAGTATCACTAAGAACAATGCCATTCACCAACTTAAAGCTTGGGTTATGCATACCAGTAGCTTGAATAAGCTTCTGAAAAGAAGAAGATTTAATCCCTATTGTGAGCTCTGTCCCAGTAACCCCAAGACACAATATGGGATGACAAAGATCCTCTCCATCTGTTATAGCCTTTCCAGGAAGCGAAGACACAAAACCCTTTTGACCTACACACAGAATGCTGTGCAAAGAATGAGGATGGACCCAAGGAAAAGCTGTCATAAAAAACTGAATATTTTATACAAGACTTCTCTAATACATACCTAGAGGAGAATCGGAGCACTTACTCATCGCAAAATATGATAACAAAGACTCTCAAGAGATCAACCAAGGCAATCAATAGCTTTCAAGGCTAAGTAATGTGTGTCAAATGTTGAAATGTGCAAATATTACAATGACGCATACTTTAAACATGATCCCTATAGACAATACACTGGTACATGTTTAATGAAACTGCCCTTGGGATGATTTTTAAAAAGTCTTTCTTTGCTACAAGACTACTTTACTTGAATGAAGTATTCAATCGTTTGGGTATTTTTTTAACCTTTCAGAGGTATTTTTGAGTTTTCTAAGCATACTCAGTAACAAGAAAGACAGGCCTCTCTCAACTGATTACAAACTTATCGAGAAGAGTCCCAGACAAACTTTAAACCTCATACAAACATACCATGTTTATTCCTCCAATGACATCTGACCCAAGGTACATTTTCGAAACACCTGTATTGTTTGTATGGCAAGAAAAACAAAATAAAGAAAACAATTATATTCTATTAAAGAGTTTGAGAAATTGGTGCTTTGCATAGCCAAGAAATAGATATTCTAGGATTTATGCACTATTTTACTGCCACTAGAGGGAGCTAGACACTTCCATAGTGTGCATACTTTTCTGCAGCCTGCAAAACTTCAAAATCAATAACATTCAAATTGACCTTTCCTTGAGATGTACATGTAATATCAACACATGTGATGTAATGGTAGTTTATTAACGGGATATAGAAATTCACTCATTTTAACTCCATGTACAGACGTGAATTGTTCAAATATTTATTTTGTAAAAGTTGTATACCGGTATATTACATGATGTATAGTTACCAGTCCTGTCATAACCACTTATTACCTATTTTCGTCTCTGGGATTCCACACACAATGGACCTGGAAATATAAAATAAACATATCAATTAATAATATACTTGTAATTTTTCTCGGGCTTTCATAATTGAACCACTCAATCATAAATAAAACCGTTTGTTAGATTTTGTTTGGCTTTTTATTCATGACTTATAATCACTTTGGCGACAATCTAGTCTAAATATGTCAATAGAATATAATTATGTGCTTTGGCAGGTACTTCTTCATCGATTGTCATATCAACTATGGAGAAATTACTAGGAGAATGCTACTCCTGTATTTGTAAACTGTCTTCATTTTGGACTTATAATATTACGGTTATGAAAATCTAGGATATAATCCAGCATTGATAAAGGGTCAAATATTTCAATCACATATTCAAACGGAATACACATATATTGTAAAATATCTTTTACAAAATTACAAAAAATAATTACCAATTGTTTTTTTTAAGTTGATTAACTTGAATATCATCAGAGTCTGTTATATTTGCCGTATTTTAAATTGATCTAATAAAAGCACTCAAATTATTGATTTTAATGCAGATATTTAAAATTCATATTTCACAAGTAACCTCATGATGAAAAGACAAGATCTTGAGAAATAATTAACTATCCAACCAACCTCTAAATCTTACCTGTAGGTTTTGATGAACTGTCGTCTATTTCTAGCCTCTTTAATTTTACTCTGAAGCTTTTTAGCAGCCATCCTGTTTTCTGCCAATAACAATAAACCGGACGCTTCTCTGAATGTTGTGAAATAAGAACGATAAAATTAGAGAGAGTGATACCTTCCTAAATAAGCTATTCTATTGAATGTCTGTGACTATCAATTTAGGAAACAAAACAAAACATTTCAAATTGCCTCTTACATCTTTATTACAAAAGCAACAACAAATGATTTTGAATATAATGGCATGTGGAAAGGTAACTTGCATGGTGCAAATTATTAAAAAAAAACATTATACATTCATGTATACGTCGTGCATCTTATTAAAAAATATGTATGAATAGAAAGAAAAAAATTCAACAACAAAATTCAACAATCAAAACATTGGTAAGAACTTTGCAAATGTTGGGAGTATGATGGGCCAATACAAAATAAATCTTAATATAATAATGTTTCCTATCTCAACAAATAATAGTATCATAACCAATTACAATCAATAATATATGTTAATGATGACTGTATGCGACTGTAAATACAATATTTATGTCAGAAGGCAGTTAAGCTGAAAATAAACTATCATAGGTACAGATCAATGAGTCTTAAATGAAACAAACAAAGTAACAAACCATACTTCTCAAGACCTTGTGCTATCTCTGCCGAGGGACAATCAGTAAAGTCTGCTACCTGTGACATCATGCTAGAAAGGGTCAAAGGTGAAGATTCATCATCCTCATTTACTTTTCCAGAAACACCCAATCCAGGAGGCTTGTTAATTGCTACAATTCCATCTGAGCAAAAGAGTATTTACAAGAAAGTAAATGGTAAGTTTGAACAGTTACCTTGGAGGATGCAAGTGATGATTTGTTGAATATAATTAGGATTTCAATACAGTGATGGAATTTTGTTAAAACCTTTTAATATTGTTTTGACACTTACAATACATGAATACATCCTACATGACTGAATTATGGATCTTACTAGATTACAATACAAATAGTTAAGAACACATTGCAATTTGAACCTCTGCAGACTTAAACACCCTCCTTCCTTGTAAATGTATTTTCGAACAGTTTATCAGTTCTCCCTCATCATATGATCATCTCTGGCTTCAATCAGTTGATTTGCTATAAACATGCTATAATTATAAACATGATATAACAAGTATTCACAGGGTAAAGCAATTGCAGTAGTCTTCAATTACGAAGCAGCTATCTAAATCATACATTTTGACTCTTGAAATTATTCTTCATCATGTGCATATTATTATGAATTTATTAATCATTACACCTATTGACGGTAATCAGACATTTGTTCTTGAAAAAGGTAGAACTAACTGACCTTGCTGATAAACGATATTCTTCTTTAAATAGTGAAGAACAGCCTCTTCGTCTTTCGAGTTATTCAAATGTTGTAGAAGTTGTCTGTGATATCTTCTCTTAGCGAAAGAGTGGGCAGTTATTGATGACTGGATTCGATCATCTTTCGATCTCCTGCAGCAGCAGGCTACATATGTCCGGCGCACTGCCCCAGAGTTCGGGCGTGTTTGTAGCAAGGGTTCCGCTGGCCGCCTGAAGAATATAGCAAAGCATCTTCGCGTGCAAAAATACATTTTTGGCCACTAATTTCAAAGAGGAGTCATGTAAATTGATAGCTGGAGCTCATGAAGTTCGCAAATATTGCAAAATGACTAAATGGGGTGAATGGGAACAAGAATTACAAAGCAGAAAACACAATTAATTTCGACCCCAAAATATCGAGCCGTGATAACCTTGGTAGTTCAAGACGTTACAGTAAAACAATTTTGGGTGAGGGGTTTTAGATAAGTGTTTTTACTCATAAAAAAAATAAATTGTACCTTATATGTTACAGCAAGAAGACTCTTGCATACTAAATGTATTAATAACAAACTTATTGAGGAATTATTGAACACAATAGCTGAAAAAGTGATCAGTATTAAAGGGAGAAATCTGGTGAATGCAATGGTCTCAATTGTCTTGAGCGTAGGCTAGACTGCACGTGTTGCACTGGAGATCCATGCAACCAAGGAGGATATTAGCTGGAATCTCTTTGATGCAACATTGGGTAAGAATGAGATTCAGGAATATGATCGAAAAGTATTTTTGTTAGATGAAATAAACGTATTCAACGTAAAACCTGTCCAAACCGACTTACAGACTAATGAGAAAACTGATATCTTAGTGTTCTTCATAGTTTTTTGTTGTTGGTGGCAACGCCTCAAGAAAAAGTCTACCTATAATTGCCATCCCCTCCATCATCATCATCATCATCGGTTTTTAGTCATCCTTCATTCTCTTCCTCTTCATGCATAATCAACATTCTTTCCATTATCATCACATATCATCATTGTTATTACCATCATGTCTAGCATAATACCTTGCATAAAACTCTATGGTAAAATATATGGAGAGGGAGAGAAGGAGAGAAGAGAGAGAGAGAGAGAGAGAGAGAGAGAGAGAGAGAGAGAGAGAGAGAGAGAGAGAAAAGAAGAGGGAGGGGGAGCTCATTAATAAATATTATCTATTTTCATGACATGATTGTGCAAGATAAGTTCTTCTTGAAACTAAATTGATCAATCTAAACTTTTAGGTATGTCAATCAGCTTCTCGCATGCAGAACTCTCGGAAGTGCCATAATAATGTAGTGCACTTTAACAATCTGAAATGTTAAATTACCATTTTATATGGACCGATCGGGGAGTGACCACTCTTTAAAAATGGTAAATTAACACTTTGAACATGCTGGATCCAACACTATAAAAGGTTTAATCCAGCATGTTCAAAGTATCAATCTGACATTTTGAAAATGTGGTCACTCGATCCTCGGCCCTTTTAAATTGAGATTTAACATTTGAGCTTTTAGAGTATGCAGAGCAGAGTATGGATGAAGAAAATTGAAGAAGAAAAACAAAACAAAGTAAAACAAAACAAAACAATAAAGCTACGAGAACAGCAGATGATATGTGCAATGATGCATCGATATATAGGAACGATAAATATGCAGGAGGAGTTTGCAAGACGGATGGGCATGCGGCTCGGTGATCTCAGTTGAAGAGAAAATAAAATGCAGTTCATGCATTGAAGTAATGGGATAGAGCCGAGACCCTCGGCTCAATCCATCTTGTCATCAGTGAAATAATCTAGTATAATCCACTAGATTACTTCATAACAAAAATAAGTTGGCAGGAGTGTGTGAATCTTGAAAAAAGGGTCAAATTTGGGTATTTGTATTACATTGACGCTCATATCGTTGGAATATTTTTGTTCAACCCCAATTTATGGAATCATTTAAAAAATAATTTACTCCTAATAGATCTAGATAAAAGTATACATTCTCAGCTTTTATTGAATAATAATTTGCCAATGTGTGTTTTGCTTGACTTCTAAACCATGTGTATGCTACTTTGCTTATCAACTTAAAAAAAAATAAAACATAAACAAAATCCTCTGGACAGCCGTGCATTATGCAATAAATTATTGAAAATGTAATGCATTTTCTTTGTTTTTGTTTTTTTATTTATGGGAACTGCCCCCTATAGCCCCCGCTGTGTACAGTCATGGTTCAGTGGAAAAGCAATGGCCTCGTAACTGTGAGGCCCCAGAATCAAAACCGTGTCGATGTGCTATATTAGTGCCCTTTTGTGGGGCATCCTCATTACTGTTATTTATGAATTAAGGGCGTAGTTGATAAGCATAGTAGCATACACATGCTTTAGCAATCACGCAAAACACACATTGGCAAATTATTATTCAATAAAAGCTGAGAATGTATACTATTATCTAGATCTATAGGAATAAATTATTTTAAAAATAATTCCACAATATTCCAACTATATGAGCGACAGTGTAGGTGATCTAATGTATGCGGAGCGTTTTAAAATTTCGTGGACATTGACAGCTAGGTTCTGGAATTAATTTGTGTGGTTGTGGTGGTGGGAGTGGGAGGGGTGGGGGGCTTCAAGAAGCTCTGATGTGCTTTTGCAATACCAACAGTTTTCTTCTCCTTTTATCCGGGGAAGGGGGGGGGGGAGGTCACCGAATGTTGCACATGAAATGCATTCTATATAATATTATAATATACCGACTCACTATTTAAAGTATTTTGTCGAGGAAACACAGCATCTGAGCAGGAAATTTCGCATTCTGTAGATTGATTACTTTTTATCAAACAGTCGAAATTTAAGTCTTATTCGCCGGTCTCTGAATGCCTAGTTCGTCACTCATATACTATATCTTTAAGCAATTTCTAAATTTCGAAGGGGACTCGGGAGACGGCCATAAGTCATAGGTCTATATAGGGAATTCTTGCCAAGTTCCAGGATGTGATTGAACAAGACGACAATGATTATAGGAGATTATAGAAGTGAAAGTTGGGGCCTCACATACATCTTTGAAACTTTGTCTCAATAAATGAAGCTCAATAAATGAATTGAATTGAATTATTGTCTAGTGCCCCACCCAGGCGCGCCGGAAGCAGTTTTTGATGGGGGGGGGGGGGGGCTAACATTTCAGGGGCAGTGACGTAATGAGCAAAAACGTTTGGAAGGGGGGGGGGAGAAGACAAATCTGCATCACCACCACTCTTACACGTTACATGCAGGCCCCGCGGAACGTTTTTCAAAGTGGAGTATTAACGATCCTAATTTGGCGTGGGGTCCAGGGTCTGGGCCTCGTCAGGGGTTCAAAAGGCTGAGCCCCTGGAAGCTCAGGGTTTTTAGGCATTAAATTACGGTCAGATAAGCATATTAAGATACTGGCAGGTCACTAATTGGCGGAGAGTCCAGGGAGCAGAGCCCCCGGAAGCTCAGAGGTTTCAATATTTATCTACGGTCAGATGAGCATCCAGGGGCAACCTTAGGGCCCTTGGTGGGGTCCAGAGGGCGGAGCCCCCGGAAGCTCAGGGGTTTTAGGTATTTAATTACGGTCAGATGAGCATCCAATGGCCACCTTATCGCCATTGGTGGGGTTCAGGAAGCAGAGCCCCCTTAAGCTCTGAGGTTTTAGGCATTTAATTACGGTCAGATGAGCATTTTTTGATACCTCATTTGTGACATAGGCAGGTCACTTATTTTCTCTCTCTCTCTTTCTTTCTTTTTCTCTGTAACATACTTTTTCAAAAAGTGAGGGGGTTCGAGCCCCCGAGCCCAGCCGTTTTGCAGACCATGACATAAAGGCTTCTAAATAAGCATATTTTTCGACCGACTGTAAATTTGGGAATTTCTAATTTTCCAACAAACGCATAAAAAGGTATGAATTACAACAACAACAAATTGAGAAAAAATACCGGAAAATCATGTCATTTCAGCAACATTTGTAAATCACTGGTATCGAATTAAAAAATACCCCCATCAGTACACCAGCGTTCAGGGGCTCATTTCTGGCAACCCTACAACAAAAAATTTCCACGATATTATTATGCACGTATCGCTATCATAAAAACCTCCATTGAATATAGGTGGCATGCGCAATGTTTAGGAAATTCAATTCCTGTTAACTTTCCTTTCTTTGAATGGAATATTATATGTGTTTTAATTCAGGTTTTTATTATTGTTATGTTCTTTTGGGTTAAAAATACAAACCATCTTTACTCCTTTACTGCTTTTTTTTTTTTTTTTTTTTGGAGGGGGGGGGGGGGGGCAAAAATGCGTCCCCCCCCCCCCCCCCCCCCCCCCCACTTCCGGCGAGTAAAAAGAGTAAATTTCGGTATCAGAAGTGGGAGGGGCATACAGATTTTATAGCGTAGATTTGAACCATTTTTTTGTTGCGAAATACGCATCAGAAGCCGGTACGGTAGCGCACACGCATACGACAGAGCTATATATCCCAGGCCATGTAGAACAACGCAGCGACTGAGTTAATCTTACGTACGTACGCGCGCGCTTGAACAGATTATTAACGTACGTCGACAAAAAGATGGTAGCATATATTGGCACCAAGATTAACGGCGATATGAATATTCATTATTCCCTACGTCACAGACGTGCGGCGTGCGTACTCTGTCATATACACATGTATTCAGTACATGAGTACGTTCGTAAGCATTAGGTCATGTACATTGCTCCGGAATGAAGAGAATCATTATAAAGGACGAATTACTCCGTGAAGCCAAGTACAAGCAGGGAATTGAAAATAGCAAACGTTCCTCGGAGCGGCTATACACTCCCTAATCTAGCTAGTTTTGTAATGATAGTTTATTTAGGATAATGGACGTTTAGTAGGCCTATTGTTTAGTTGTTAAATAACATCACTCAGTGTGATTTGATTCGAGATATATCTCATTAATAAAACTGTATAAAGGCTGTATGAGTCTCGAACGAACCATATCGCCACTAATCTTGGTGCCAACACCGTTAAACTATGCTCCAAATTTAGTAATACATTTTGTGTGCCCTATAATGACCCGGGGCTGGATTGTGTAGGAGAACGGATGATTGATATTGTAAAGTTGTTCCATAACATCACTCAGTTCGATTTAATTAGAGATATACCTCATTAATAAAATATATATATATAAAAGCTATAGTCTCAAACTAACTTACCTGTACACCATTAAACTTGGTGCCAAGACCATTAAACCATGCTCCAAATTTAGTAATACGTTTTGTGTGTCTGCAAAGACCCGGGGTTGGATTATTTAGGAGAACGGAAGATTCTTATATTGTTAAGTTGCTCTATAACACAGGCGCAGTTCCAGGGGGGCAGCGCCCCCCCCCGCAAAAATAAAGAGAGAGAGAGAGAGAGAGAGAGAGAGAGAGAAAAGGA